TTTCAACCAAAGCAACAGGAACCAGCTGCATATCATATGCCAGAGCAGCAGCCACCTCAGCAGCAGCTGCAGGGAGCAGCCTATAATACTCCTCCTTCACTAATACAATCAGAAGCAGACACTGATACTATATTGAAAGAGTTAGATCATTCAAGAAAGACATATGCAACTCCTCGTCATCCCTCTCCAGTTCTTCCTAGACGTCAGCCTCCTTCGCCTGAGCTTGATTTACCTCTAGAGCTACCAGAAGATGAAAAAGATGATGATGATGATGATGATGATGATGATGATAAAGGCAGGCCTTTGGATCCTAACCTGGTCTGTCCTAAGTGCCGTAAGCAGTATCGTGTGGGTGAAATACAAAAACTACGCCGCCACATAAATGAAAGATGTAAAGGAGTCCAATGATGTGTAGTGTGATTCTATTTTGAATTTAGTTCGAATGTTGTAGCTTTTCAAGGCATTAATTTTTGAATTAATCTGTAAAAATTTTAATTATAACATAGATATTAGAGTAAATGAAATTAAATCTATTATCTATGATTATAATTATTGTAATGCGTCACACCTTATATGGGGGTGTGTTTGGTTACACCCACTTTTCTCCTGGGCTTCCCCTTAATTCATGTAAGAGACAGATTGACAGTTCCAAGTTGAGTTTCGCAAAGTCAAGGATTATTGGATCGAAATAAGAGCACCAAACAAGTAAGAAATGAGTTTTGTTGATTGCAGTAGCATTTTCATCATTAAAAAATAATTTTGAGTCTATATATAGTTGATTTAAAACTTTTTTATCTCTAATTAATTTGCAATATGTATATACATGTGTATTGTCAATCATTCGAAATGTTTGGTGGTTTGATTTAGGTATCATTGCTTTACTTTAGGTTGATTGGTATCAAACCATGTCTTGTCAACCAATGATAGCCGATCATAATATAAAGGCACAGGCAGTAGGCCCAGGAGCAAGTGGCACACAGTTAAATCAGGCACCAATCGTCGAATCAGGTCAAGAACAGGAGCAGATCATACAAGATAGCAAAAGCGAGAAGGAGAAAGAAGTAGCTGGCCCCAAGGAAAAACTAGCACTTGTTAGACAGAGATTAAAAGAAAAGGATAAAGCATACAATGAACAGGAAACTATCAAGCTACGATTGGAGGAGGAATTAACTTCAGCAAACAAGGAAATAACATTTTTGAAGAAGAGGATTGATAGTAGTAAGGAGCTTGAGAAAAAACTAAAGGAGAAAATAAGTGAACTTGAAAAGGAAATGAACGAGAAAGTTGAAGAACTTCAAGATAAAGAAGCAAGAATCAAGCATCGAGAAGAAAATTTATCTGAGAAAGAGAAAAGTGTGTTTAATGCTGAAGGAATTGATGCTGCTGATAAGAGAGACAGGGAGTTGATGATCAAGCAAGTTAAAGATTTGAAGAAGGAGAGTAAAAAGAATATTGCTGAGGCTACACAACGTATTGATGAATTAGAGGAGACACACAAGGAGCAACTTAAAGAGATCAAAAAATTGAGAGAAGAGAATATAACACTAAAAGTAAGTTCTGTGTGACCATGTTCAGTGCTGTTAGCAGTTAGCTGGTAATTTTGGAGGGAAAATTTTTGTTGATTTGGTATTTTGACAACCATTCATAAACCTGCCATTTTGAATCATTTATGTGCATGCTTAACATCACATGGCCACATGTTCACCAAAAATTAAAACTCACCAATCATCAAAAATTTTGCTATTTGCCTAATATTAATTACCACTCCAAATTACCAGCTATACCGGCAGTATATCACTAATGTAATACAATAGGGGACTGTAGTGGAACAAGAGAATATGAAGGAAAAGCTTACTGAGTTGGAAGCATCTCGTGATAAAGTTGCTGCAAGTTATGAGGAAAAAATTGATCTCATTAGAAGAGAGGAAGAAACAAAATGTGCTAAAATGAAACATGACTTTGCTAAGGCTACAAATCATATTGATGAATTAGAGAAGACTCATAAAGAACAACTTAAAGAGATTAATAGACTGAAAGAAGAGAATATAGTTCTAAAAGTATGTTTTGTGTGATGGTATATCATTAATGTAATATAATAG